GGAGAGAAGTGGGAAAAATGTGGATCCTGAGTGCTCAAATGGATTTAATGTTAACAAGCTTTCATCGACCCTCAGATCTGCAATTGTTCGATGGAGCAATTTCCTTTGATATTCACTCCAATGAATTGCCAGGATTCAGTGAATTCCTTGGGGCCATCAAACCATTCCAGACCCAACGAGATAGTTTGTTGAAAGAATTTTGGGAGCAAGCCTTTGATTGTTTTTTTTCAGAGAGCAATAAACTGGAAGAAAGTGGTGAAGCATGTACTGGGAGGGAAGATCTAAAAAAACTTCCTGCAAATTTATTTGAAATGACTGGCCACAGCTACAGTATCTACAATGCAGCATGTACTGTAGCACATGCTGTTCATCACATGAACTTACTTACGTCTAAATACAAAAGAATAAAAGAGAGTAGAAGGAATGAACTTCGAGATCAAGAAACATGGAAGGTAATAACTTGTGATTTAAAGACTCTTTGTAAGGCCTTGCCTTAGCTATTCCCTCAAGAAAGCAGAACTCCTGAAGTAAGCAACATTTCAAAATGAACTTTTATTGAGAGATAGTGATTGTAGAGAAAGCAGGCAGGATTTAAAATTCTCACATGAAAACATTAGGTTAAATCCCATTCTTCAAAACCCATCTTAACCGCCCAGTCCTATAGAGAGCCAATCCAGAGGTGCAAAGGTATTGTGAGAACTCCCAGCTGAGAAGGTGATAAGAAGTTTTTCTCAGGTGTGGTGATCTTGGTTCTCCAGAGCTGAGACAAAGGAAATGGCACCAGGCTCATCCCTTCCCCCCTCCCATTCCCCAGAAGATACATCAAAGCAAAAGAGAAATAAAGCAAAATGGACCCATCACAGAAAAGCCCCAATGGCTCGCCAATCTCTTCTTAAAAGCCTCCAGTGATGGAGCTCATACAGCTTCTGGAGGCATGTTGTTCTACTGATTTCTCCTTAGTTCTAGATTGGTTCTCTCCTTGATTAGTTTCCATCCATTGCTTCCTATCCTGCCTTCAGGTGCTTTCCAGAATAGGTTGACCCCTCTTCTTTCTGGTAGCCACTCAGATATTAGAACACTACTTTTATTAAACTGGACATACCCAATTCCTGCAAACATTCTTAATATGTTTTAGCCTCCAATCTCCCATAGAGATTGAGATTGAGTCTTCAATCATTGGCCTTTGATAGAATCCAGCTCTGGAAGAGATGTTAAGCCATGCCATAACTTATTTTGTTTTTGATTCTAGTTATCTGGATTGCACATGTCCACTACCAGGCACAATGATGTCAGTATGATCACAGGTGCCCCAGTTTTGTCTCTCCAGTGGAAGCCCATAATAAAGAGTTGTGCAGTGTGTCACAGTTAAGTGATAGTCATACTTAAAACCGACAGAGAGAAATTGGTGGGAATTAAGTAATGCCACTTTCATTTCTACATAAAAATTTCAGGAAATCTTCAGGAAATACAGTTTGTGCTTCCCCTTATTTTTTCCCCTTTTCTTTTTACTTAGTTTCACTCCTTTCTCCAAGGCCTTTCATTCAATAATTCACTTGGAGAAACTGTGTCCATCAACCATCAAGGAGAAGTGCTTTCTGGATTTGATATTATAAATGTGGTCATGTTTCCAAATAACTCCTACCATAAAGTGAAAATTGGAAAGGTGGATTCCATAGCACCTGAAGGAAACAAATTTGTGATTCATGAAGATTTAATTGTGTGGCACAAATATTTTAAGCAGGTATAGATTTTAAGGTGTTTTTATTATTATGGATAAAAGATTTGGGGATCAGAAATGAGTTTAATGGTACAGCCTGCTTTCTGATTCTTTAATTGGATAATATTTAGCACTCTGTACTCAAGGTATGGCTGTATTTTCCTGGGGTAATTACAATTGGCAAATAATTTGCATGTTTTTATACAGGGAAGATGGGGAATTATGCTATCATCCCAGCCTCAATGGAACAGTGAAATAAAATTCAAGAAACATTAAATAATAAATATAAAAATAATAAATATAAAAATAATTGAGAATATAATAAAACTTTAGACCAGTGATCAGAAATTTGAGAAAGTGGACTAAGAAATGTTGTATATCTAACTTTACTGTGGTTCACACAGTAAAGCTTTTGAGTTAGTTGTATGAAAACTGTCTTGAATGCATTTTGGTCAATATAAAGGGGGGGGGAAATGACATTGCCATAGGTGTATACTATAGGCTGCCCAACCAAACAGGAAATAGAGGAACTTTTTGCTAGTCAGCTGACTAGGGTATGTAGGAAGCACATCACAATAGTAATGGGACATCAACTGGGAGACAAACTCTGCATCAAGTGGCAGATCAAACAGATTCCTGACAAACCTAGCAGACAACTTTGTTTCCCAAAAAGTAGAGAAAGGAACTAGTGGATTAACCATATTGGATCTAATCCTCATTAACAGAGATGAAATGATAGAAGGTGTTGAAGACACAGGAACCTTGGGGGGAAGTGATCATGCAATATTGGAATTAAACATTATGGAAGCACAAGCAATAGAACACAGTCAAACTAGATTCTTGGCCTTTAAGAGAGCTAATTTCAATATACTTAGAGAGACCTTGGGAAGGATTCCATGGATGAAAATCCTCAAGGGGAAAACAACTCAAGAAGCTTTGGAAATTTTGAAAAGTGAGATAATAAAAGCTCAGTCTAGTACAATACCAACAAAAAAGAAAAATAACAGCTTCAAAAGAAACCAGCATGGCTGCATAAAGAACTCTCTGATAAATTGAAAGATAAAAAGGACTATAGAAAGTGGAAAGAGGGGCACATAACTAAGGAAGAATATCAGCAAATAGCTCGAGCCTGCAAAGATGAGGAAAGCTAAGACTCAAAATAAACTAAGGCTTGTGACCAAAGTAAAAAACAACAACAAAAAAGCTTCTTTCAACATGTAAAAAACAAGAAAAAAGTGAAGGAAATGATTGGTCCATTAGTGGGTGAAAGTGGCAAGAAGGTGACAAGCAACAGGAAGAAAGCAGAACGATGTAAAAAAGATGTTGAGACTCTAGAAAAGTACAGAGAAGAGCAACAAAGATGATTAGGGGACTGGAGGCTAAAACATATAAGGAATGGTTGCTGGAATTGGGTATGTCTAATTTAATGAAAAGAAGGATTAGGGGTGACATGATAGCAGTATTCCAATATCTCAGGGGTTGTGACAAAGAAGAGGGAGTCAAGCTATTCTCCAAAGCACCTGAAGGCAGGACAAGAAGCAATGGATGGAAACTAATCAAGGCGAGAAGCAACCTGGAACTAAGGAGAATCTTCCTGACAGTTAGAACAATTAACCAGTGGAACAATCTGCCTCCAGAAGTGATGAATGCTCCAACACTAGACGTTTTTAAGAGGAGACTGGACAGCCATTTGTCTGTAATGGTATAGGGTTTCCTGCCTGAGCAGGGGGTTGGACTAGATGGCCTCCAATGTCCCTTCCAACATTATTATTATTACAATAGTGTAAAAAGGGAATAACTGACTCCTCATGTAATGATTGGGATAAGATCATCTGAAAGTCCATCAATTAGAATGAGTAGGAGGAAAATACCCAACTTTAATCCTTGCAGCTAATAGTCAGAGACACGTTTAAATTGGTGATTTTTTATTTGTTGTCTGCTTGTACTAAGCTAAGTATTGCGTCTCACAATAGGTATTTTTTAAACTACATTTTTCAGTTAATCCAGAGAGAGGAAGTTAGGGAATAGCTTGGAAGCAATCTTGCGCAATACAGGGGGAAGTGTTGGAGAGATTTCTAAGTGGGGCGATTCATTTCATGATCCTATGACACCCGCTACTCTATTTAAGCTTGTAGATTAGAGGCTGACCTTGAAGGATTACTCAGATCTTCCGTCCTGAATTCCATCCTGGTTTATCAACAGGTCTTGCCCCGTTCAGTGTGTAATAACCCCTGTCCTGCTGGCTATCACAAGAAAAAGAAAGAAGGCAAGACATTTTGCTGCTATGATTGTGATCCATGTTCCGATGGGAAGATGTCAAACATGTCAGGTAAATTATTTTCTATTTACCCTCTCCTCTCCTCTCTTCCCCTCCCCTCCCTTCTCTGACATATTTGTGGTCAATTATTTTTATTTAGATACACAGCTTATTTGCTTCCTACAGTTATTCTAGTACAAATTCACATACTGGAAGATTTCTCAAGGTGGTTATCATGATAATGGGTAATACTAGAGTGAGAACCGTTCAAATAATTCCTAAAATAAATAAAAAGAATGATAGAGGCCCCAAATCAATAGATAGAAACATACATCCCTAGATATCTTGGTGCCCATAGAAAAAGCCATGTTTGATCATGTGACTGAAGCCCAATCCTCTGTTTTATGTGTATGTACTATATATAACAACACTAAATTGGTAAGAATTCAGTCACAGCGATGGGCCTACCATGTTGGCTTTGGGGACACTTTAGGACATTGATATTCATACATATTTGTGCCTAACACTTGGACATGGAAGGCCTGAAGGGATGTGATTTCAGGAAGCTTTCTGGAATATTTCCAGTATGGAAATTCAGCTTGCTGAATGTGATTATCTAATGAACTAATCAAATGGTTTTCAAACATAACCACTTTAAGAGATGAATTAAATTCCCAGAATTCTCCAGACAGAATTCTCAGAGTTGAAGGCCAGGCTTTATATAGTGTCCAAGTTTACAAAACACTGATTTAATCTAGGTTATGTATTTTATTTTGTGCTCCATGTTAAAATTCCTCTCTCTTATTTGCAGATATGATTGCTTGTTCTGAATGTCCAGAAGATCAATCTCCAAGTAAGGATAAAGTTCGATGCATCCCCAAAATCATAACTTTTCTAACCTTTGATGAACCTTTAGGGATCACTTTAGTGATACTTGCTTTTTTATTTTCAGTCATTACCATGCTCATACTTGGAATATTTATTAAGTATAAGGACACCCCTATTGTTAAAGCTAACAACAAGGACCTCACCTACACTCTCCTCATCTCCCTTCTACTTTGCTTCCTCTGCTCTTTTCTCTTCCTTGGAAAACCTTTCAAACTGATTTGCTTCATCAGACAATCTGTGTTTGGCATTATCTTCTCTGTTGCCATTTCTTCTGTATTGGCCAAAACTATCATGGTCATTGGAGCATTCATGGCTACCAAACCAGGGTCTGGCAAGAGAAAATGGTTGGGGAAAAGATTGTCCATCTTAATTGTTTTTTCTGGCTCCTCTATTCAAGTAGGTATTTGTCTGGCATGGATGATCACCTCTCCCCCCTTTCCAGAACTTAACATGAAATCAATGACTAAAGAGATCATAGCAGAATGTAATGAAGGATCTGTTGTGATGTTTTACCTTGTCTTGAGCTATATGGGATTTCTGTCTCTGGTCAGCTTCCTGGTGGCTTTTCTAGCTAGGAACCTGCCAGACACATTCAATGAAGCCAAGTTCATCACTTTTAGCATGCTGATGTTTTGCAGTGTTTGGTTAACTTTTGTTCCAACCTATGTGAGCACCAAAGGAAAGTATATGGTAGCTGTGGAGATCTTCTCCATCGTAGCTTCTAGTGCTGGGTTATTGGCATGTATCTTTTTCCCCAAATGCTACATTATTTTGTTGAGGCCAGACCTTAACAGCAAAGAGCAACTTGTAAAGAAGAAGCATTTCTGACTAATTGTGGGTATATGTATTTCTATTGTGAAATGGAATTAGTAATCCTTTTCTAAGAATAAAAACTATCCTTGTTTATTAGCCATGGTAATTTTACTGATATTTAATTTCTATAACTCTATAACAGTGTTTGTCAATATCTTATGAGCAGACATGGAAAATAAAATATTTTATTTATTTATTTATTTATTTATTTATTAAATTTATATCCCGCCCTTCTCCTTACGGACTCAGGGCGGCTGACAATCGATTAAAAATACACCAAAACAATTACAGAATTAAAATTAATTAAAAAGAAATATTTAAATATAGTCGAATTAAAATATGATTAAAACCCCTCTAAAAATTGCCCTAGGCCAGTCCCGCTTGTTGGAAT